GAGAACCCAGAAAAGAAAAATGCACATACATGGTCAATAATACACAATAAAGGAGCTAAGAATAAATAACAGAGAAAGGACAGGGTCTTCAGTAAATAGTATTAAGAAGACTGGACAGTCACATGCAAAAGAATGAAACTGGAACACTATCTTACACCATATATAAAAATTAACCCAAAATGGATTATAGACAAGACACCATAAAAGTCCTGGAAGGAAACACAGGTGGTAAGCTCCTTTACATTGGTCTTGGTGAAGATTTTTTTGGATTTGGTACCAAAAAATCAACAAGTGTGAACACATCAAACTAGCAAACTTCTGCACAGCAAAAGAAACCATTAACAAAATGAAAAGGCAACTACTAGGAGGGAGAAAATATTTGCAAATCATACATCTGATAAAAGGGTAATCTCCAAAATATAAATAACTCATACAACTCAAAAACAAACAAAAAATCTGATTAAAAAATGGGCAGAAGATCTGAACACTTGTCAATGATGACATATAGATGGGGAACATACACATGAAAAGATGTATAATGTCACTAATCATCAGAGAAATGCAAATCAAAACCACAATGAGATATCACCTCACACCTGTCAGAATGGCTATCAAAAAGACAAGAAGTAACAACTGTTGGTGAGGATGTGGAACAAAGGGAACCCTTGTGCTGGGAATGTAATCTGGCATAGCCACTATGGAAAGCAGCATGGAGGTTCCACAAAAAAACAAAACAAAACCTAAAAATTAAAGTACTATACGATCCAGTAATTACACTTCTGGTATTTACTCAAAGAAAATGAAAACACCAACTTGAAAAGATATGTGCACCCCATGTTCACTGCAGCATTATTTACAATAGCCAAGATATAGAAACAACCTAAGTGTCTACCAACAGGTGAATGGATAAAGAAAATGTGGGGTGTGTATAAGCGTATATACATAATAGAATATTACTCAGCCGTAAAAATGAATAAAATTTTGCCATTTGCAACAACACAGATGGACTCTGAGGGCATTATGCTAAGTGAAATAAGTCAAACAAAGACAAATACCATATGATCTCATTTTGGTAACAACAACAAAAAGACCAAAAAAAAAAAAAAACAAACAAAAACAAAACCAAAAACCCAAAATCAACCAAGCTCTTCACAAAGAATAGACTGGTGATTGTCACAGGTGGGGGATGAAGGTGGGCAAAATGGTTGAAGAGAGTTAAAAAGTACAAACTTCTGGGGCATGAGGGTGGCTCAGTCAGTTACGCAATTTTGGCTCAGGTCATGATCTCACAGTTCATGGGTTTGAGCACCACGTCAGGCTCTGTGTTGACAGCTCAGAGCCTGGAGCCTGCTTTGGATTCTGTGTCTCCCTCTCTCTCTGTCCCTCCCCTGCTTGTGCTATCTCTCCCTCTCTCTCTCTCTCTCAAAAATAAATAAACATTAAAAAAATTTTTTTAAAAAGTACAAACTTCTTGTTATAAAATAAATGTGATGGGGATGTAGTGTACTATGTATTTGAAAGTTACTACGAGAGCAAATCCTAAAGAAAAAGAAAAAAAATCAGTAACTATGTATGGTGACAGATGTTAATGACTTATTGTAGTGATCATTTCACAATATATAAAAATATCGAATCATTATGTTGTATGTCAATTATTCCCCAATAATCAATATAGAGTTGTGTAGATTTTGTGGGTGAACTGTATAGTATGTGAATATATCTCAATAAAGCTGTTATAAAAATCAATATAACGTACTTCATCGATAAAATTAAAAGGCCCATTTCAATAGATGCAGAAAAAGGCATCTGAAAACATGGAATATCAATTTATGAAAAAAACTCTCAGGAATCTAAGAATAAAAAAAAAAGCTTCCTCAACCTGATAAAGGGCATTTACAAAAAACTATAGCTAACAGAATACCTTAATGGTGAAAAACTAAAGTCTTTCTCCCTAAGATCAGGACCAAAGCTTCTATTCAAATTTTGCTGAAGATAACAATGAAAAGAAATAAATAGTATATAATTAAAAAAATATGTTTTTATTCTCAGATATGTTTATGTACATAAAGAAATTTTATAAATGTACAAAACTATTAGAGCTCGTAAGTTTTTTTTTTTTTTTTTTTTAAACCAAAGTGCTAACAGAGTATAATGGGAAAAGAAACCTTTTCAGCAATAGTGTTGGAACAACTGGTTACCTGTACGGAAACATAAATTTGGGCCTAGGCATCTGACCATTAGTTTATTTGAGATGAGTCATAGCCTAAATGCAAAAGTAAAACTTAACAAAACTTCTAAAAAATATATAAAAGGCTTTTTTAAACCTTTGTTTAGGCAGAGATCTCTTAGAAACCAAAAACCCAAAATAGACATCATCACAAGTAAAAACCTTTCCTTATCAAAGGCTATCTTCAAGAAAATGTATAGACAATTTCCAGACTACAAGAAAACATTTGCAATGCATATGTGACAAAGAACTTTGTAGTCAAAACATATAAAAAACTCAAAAGTAAGGTAACAACTTTTAAAATAGGCAAAAACCTTAAATGCAGATTTCATAAAGAAAGATACCGAATGGTTAAAAAGCACATAAAGAGATGCTTGATATAATTTGTCACTAAGGAAATGTAAGTTAGAATCGCAATGAGATGACACTGAAAATAGGCCAAAATTTTAAGAACTAACAACATTAAGTATGTACTAGCAAGATTGTGGAGCAACTGGAACTCCCACAGATTGCTGACAGGAGTGTGTAAGAGTACAACCACTATGGAAAATGGTGTGGTATTCCACTTCTAGGTATTTACCCAGCAGAAATGAAAATGCATATATACCCAAAGACCTGGCAGGAGCTTAACTTACAAATGCTAACTGGAAACCCAAAGTCTATCAACAGATGAATAAATAAAAATTATAGGATATGCACACAATGAATATGTGCAACAATAAAAAGAAATAAACTATCTCACATGCAGCAACACTGATATATCTCAAAAACAATACACTTAGTAAAAGAAGTTAGCCACAAAGGAGTTTGATTTCATTTGTATGCCTTTCCAGAACAGGAAAAAGAAAGCCATAATGACAGAAAGCAGATCAGTGATTACCAAGCACCAAGGCTGGTGAGAAACTGACTGGAAAGAGGTACAAAGACAATTTTGATGGGTGTGGATTACATGAGTACCTAGATTTGTCAAAGTCAACAAACTCTACATTGGAGAACTCTACATTTCACCTAAATACATCATACCACAATGAAGAAAAAAGTCTATAGATATAGGTAGGTATGCATAAAGAGGATATTTAAGCCAAATTATTAACAACAGAATTATAGGTATTTTTCCTATAATTTTAAGATTTTATTTAATAAATTACCATTACTTATATTTAAAAAAAAAAAAAAATGAAAAAACAAGTTAAGCTCTCAAGGAGAGCCTCATCGAAAAGGTGACATTTGAACAAAGACCGAAGGAGATAAGGGAGCTAAGTGTATGGATATATGTGGGGAGAGGAAACCTGAGGTGTAAAGAGCCCTCAGGTTTTGAGAAGTGACATGACTGACTTACATTTTAATAGGATCACTCTGGCTAGAGTATTTAGAATAGACAAGGAGGCAAAGGCAGAAATAAGGATACTAATCACAGAGCTAGTACAGTAACTCAGGTGAGAGATGATAAAGGATTGGTTCAGGGTAAGCAGTGAAGTTAGAGGTAGTCAAATTTTGAAGATTTGTAGTTGGACTGGATGTGAGATGTGGGAGAAAGAAAGGACAAGGAAGGGTTTTGGCATAAAAACTGGAATAAAGTATCTATTTACTGTGACAGAGAAGACTATGGGGTCAAAGAGGGGTTCTGGAAACAGCAAGAGCTTGTGTTTGAGTAAAACTGCAGATATAAAATTGGTAGTCATCACCAAGTAGAGGACATTTAGAACCACAGATAGTGGGAGCTTACCAAGGGAATATGTACATAGAGAAAAAAGAGCTTACAAAAATGGGCTGTATAGCATTTCAGTGTCAGGAGGTAAGTTCTTAGCATAAACTAGAAATGAAGGTCAGTAATACCCTCAAGTGCACTGTGAAACTATTTTTAGAAACTTAGTGGGATCTCAAAAAATACAATAAAAAAGCCTTTTCTATTCTTTGCTTGAATGAATACTCTGAAGTTTTCATTGATTCTGTAAGATGAAATGGACACCTTTGATTACAATCTGAAATTGGAAACTACTGAGTGATAACCATCATTCACTGTTATTCTAGAACTATATTGCTATAATCCCATGGGATCAAGCTTCTCCAACTTTCAAGACATTTGCTGATAAATGTAAAACAACACATTTAGATTACCTACTCCCAAATAGCAAAAATCATCTACTACTGAGGAACTACATTTGTGTCCTGAATAAGACTCATCAGTCATCAGATGATGCTACAAGCATGTAAGGCAATGATGTACTACATAGCTGTCTGATCCTCAGATGGTACTTTGGAGGCTGATGATAAACTACAGGTCTGACAACTCACTTTCCATTTCAAGATATTTCTTGAACTTCTTCTTGTTGTGACAGCAACCAAATTGATTAAACCTAGTCATGGGATTTGACACTATAGCCAGCAGACTTCTATTTGTTGATTGCTATTGATTTTCTTTGATACCTCATTTAAAAATCAATAGTTGGAAAGAAAAATAGGCTTAGTTTACACATACTGAAACATACTACTGTATGCTGGAGGAGGCCCAGGTTTGGCAAGGCTTTGGCATCCAATTATAAGAAGAGCTCTTAACAGGTGAAAGCAAGGGCTTTAGATCGATACGCAGTTTTCTTTCTCAATCAAAGAAAGTGGCTATAAATTAAGCTCATCAGTATTATTTTCAAAGCTTTCTTGAAGCAAACAAGTTTAAACTTTTTGGGAGGGCACAGGGTCTTCCTTAGATATACATTAGCAAGGATATATCACTAAAGTTTTTGTTTTCTTTTCTTTTTAAGGATATTTAAGGTACCTGGAGTTCATCCGGGCTTTTATCTTTTTGGCTTTTTTTTTATTTTTCTGCCTCTCGTCTCCATCTTTCAATGGTTCTGGTAGAGCTGCACTTTCAACCACAATGTCAATAATATACTTCTTTAATGAAAGATGCTCCTGCAAGATAAATAAATGATAATAACATTGATGATGGTTAAAGAATAACATAGCATTGCTACAGACTATAGTGAGTATAAAAAAGTATATAGATAAAAGTAAAGTAATATTTACGAAATTCTGTTTTTCACAATTCCTTTGGAAAACACTGAAGAAATGTTTTACTTAAGATTTTCATGGACTTATCAAACCTTTCCTGTACATCAACTGTTATAAATGCTAAGGATACAAGGACATATCCCTATCCCTCACAACCACACAGCATTAAGAGGTAAAAAAAATGTATATGTATATGTAAATATACATATGTATATATGTGTGTGAGTGTGTGTGTGTGTGTGTAGATACACACACACACACACACACACACACACACACACACACACACAAATCTATAATATCCAGTAGTAAGTGTCGATTAGAAAGATGGGATGCTATAGGAGCCCAAAAGGGAAACAAAAGCAATGTTCACTGGGGGTAAAGGGGAAAGGTTTCAAGAAGGAAGTACCATGTCTGCTATCTCTTGAAGAATGGACTGAATTTGAACATACAGATATTAGATATATGTGTGTTTGTTTGAGCTGAGTGTTGGGAAAGGTGGCAGAAAGGAAAAATTAAAAAAGGCATTTCAGAACACACAAAAAGAGATGAAAGTAGAATGTGGTTACTGGAAACAGCGATGTGGTTTGGCTGGAGCGCACAGATTCTGGCCCCATGTCCCTCCTTATCAATGTTAGATTTTACAGCCCATTACTATAATCATTTCCTTGCATGTACACAGCATGTACATTCCCTTCCCCTCTCTTCTTTACTCATACTTGCATGGCAAAATCCCAATTCTAAATCCAACTCCCACCCTACTCTGTGCCCATACCTGGCCAGATTAACGTGGCTGTAATTATGAACTGTGTTGACTACTCTTACTTTAAATTTATGACATTACAAATGTCATACTCAAATGGCCCCTAGTATTGCCAGGCAATTAGGGAACCTTAAACTATTTTCTCTACACACTCTTTTCTAGAAATTGTTTTAGATCTTCTCCTCAAATTTCTAACACCTTTAGCCCTGTAGATCACTTCCTCTTTCCTGACACTTTTTCTTCACTAGGCTTCCAGACATTACACTGTCCTCCTAACTTACCAGCTGCACCTTCTAAGTCTTCTTTGTTGGATTCTTTTGCTCTGCATGAGCAAATGTTGGAATATCCCAGAGCTATATACTTCTCTATCCAAACTCATTCATCAAGTGCAGTGACTTGAAATATTATTTATACACAGGCAATTCCCAAATTTTTAGCTCTAGCTCTGACCTCTCCTCTGAACTACACTCCTATATCAAACTGTCTACTACAAATTTCCACTTAAAGTATTTCCATCATAAGCATTTCCAAAATAATCGTCCACAACAAAATGCTTATGTTCCCCACATACAGTTACTCTTCCCAGAATGTTTCCCATTTCAAATGCAACTAGAAAAAAATAACCCAGGTCTCAAATCAAACAAAAGCAATAATATAAATAAAGATAATCCTCTTACCATATCTTCTAAGGATACATGGTATAAAGCAAGTCATATGTGAAATCATTATCCATGTTACCATTTTTGAATACTTAATGCATGATCAGCAAAGGGCTAACCTGAACACATTATTTTCTATAATCATCACAATACCATAAAACAGGTGGTAATATGTTTACATTTTACAAGATACTTAATAATGGTTCAGAGAGGTTTGGTATTATGTCCACAGCCACAAAGCTCAAGGTCAAACTAGCTGATTTCACAAGACCACGCTATTCCCCTCCCCCAACACTGCCGATGTAGACTGAGTCTGACATGTTAATTTCTATTTCTGCACCAGGAAAAAAGAATATTCCAAGTGACACCTTCTACTTTATGGAAGGTCCAATTATACTATTTTAAGTTATATGTAAATGTAATTTACATATCTAATAGAATCCACTAAAGATCACTATACACAAAGGTAGACACTATATAGAAAATCTTGGACTTTATGTAGAACTATCAAAAATCCTATCTTCTTAAAGAACAATACATCTACACACATGAATTATGCATTCATGTTAATGTTAACATTTTCAAAAATCTCAGAACTAAAAACAAATGAGAATATATTTTTATTTGACTTAGTTTTATCTTTTTAAAAAAACTTTTTTTTAAATTTATTTTGAGAGAAAGACAGAGCACACCAGTGGGGGAGGGGCACAAAGAGAGACTCCTAAGCGGGCTCCACACTGCCAGCGCAGAGCCTGACGTGAGGTTCTAACCCACAAACCGCGAGATCATGACCTGAGCTAAAGTCAAGAGCCAGATGCTTAATCAACTTACAGTTGATTAAGGTGCCCAAAAGTAAGTTCTATCCTAATACAAAATCAGTATGTGTTAATTATAGAATATACAAATAAAAATTAAGAAATAAAAAATCACATAAAATACTAACACCTAAAAATAATTATATGAATATATCCTATGTTCTTTGTGTGTTTTTATATGTGGGATATGCCATTTATAATATTTTATAAATTTTTTAAATTTAAAATTTCAAATACATTCTATTAAATAATATTCTACAACATAATCTAGTGGCTATCAGTTATTCCATTTCATGAATATACCTAATTTTACTACTTTATTGTTAGATATCTAGATAACTTTTATTATCAATATTATAAATGCCAGTGCAACAAATATTCCTACAGTTAAGATTTTAAACGCATAATCTATTTTCCCTTTGATCAAATCATAAAAATGAAATTCCTATATCACAGAATACACATATTTTTAAGGATTTTTATAAGTATTCCCAAATTGAACAACCAAACTGGGAATTAATTTACATGCCCACAAGTGATTTGCCACTACCTAGTGTTTCTATTTTGTTTGTAAATCTATCAATTCGTTGGCTGAAACACTGGTGTTAGTATGTTAGACCATTTATATTTTGTCCTCTGTGACTTAAAATGTGTCTTTTGTCCAGCTTTCTATAAACAGATTTCAAGTTTTTATACGTTTCCGTCTAGTGATTTGCATTATATTTTAGCTTCTATAAGAAACAAATCAATTTTGGGTGATAAAAGAAACACACTGTGGGACGTGACAGAGGATAATTAATAGTTATTTTTCCATTAAGACTATGGAGACTTTATACAGGAAGGTACTGAGATGGCTTCTGAAGATAGAAGGTGTATGTAAAGGTTTTTCAACACTAAGGAGTGGCTGATGAAATTATGGCATATTTCCATGAGGAAATATTAGTCATTAAAATCCTTATAAACAAAATTGGAAGTAGATGAAGGCAGTGGCAGCAAAATTTTAGATTCTCTCTAGGGGCATCTGGGGGGCTCAATCAGTTAAAAGTCCAATTTTGGCTGAGGTCATGATCTCACAGTTGGTGAGTTTGAGCCACACAATGGGTTCTGTACTGGCAGCTCAGAGCCTGGAGCTTGCTTCAGATTCTGTGTCTCCCTCTGTCTCTGCCCCTGCTCCCTCATGCTCTGTCTACCTCTCTCAAAAATAAACAGTAAAAAATTTAGCTTCTCTCTAAATTATCATATAAAACAGAAAAAGCGATTATATATCAACAGCAAAACCCACAGAAAATATTTACAACAAAACAAGGTGACAATGTATCCCCCTAAACCCCACACCAAGTAGGTAAGGTCAAATTACCAACACATCAGCAGAGTTTCAGTGTCTTTGAAGGAGAAATCAAGGGAAACAAAAAGTGAATAATGAACTTCACATCAGAATTCTAGAAAAGGAACCATTTTCCATTGGAGAATTTAATAGGCCAATTTGAGAAGAGCATCTAAAATGGAGAGAAGTTTGCCCACTCCGAAGGCAGTGAAAGAAACAGCTGCATTAAGGACTTAATACTTTGGTGAAGGCTAGTCCCAATGAACTCTCAAAACTGAGCCATGGGAAAACTGCTGCAAAAGGAATTTAAATGTGACAACTAGAGATAATAAAGATAAAGGGGGAAAAAGTGTAGACAAAAGAAGAGCAAGGAAAGAGAATAAAGAAATTTCAGAAATCAAGTTACTCTATTTTATACAAAAATAACAGAAAAGGAGCTCCAGGAAATTTGAATACCTATGCCAAATCAAAACTGAATCTAAAAGTCTTATAAAACCAATTCCACCCTAAAAGTATCAAGGCCAATAGCCAAAATTATTTTTAAAAAATAGCTAAAATTAGGAACAATACAAACAATGAAAATACACCAAAAAACATGCACGGGCTAAATCCAAATTTTACTCTCCATTTCAAAACAAGCTAAAACAAATTTTTCAAGGGGTATAAGGCATGAGAAAACAACACAACTCACCATCTTAATAATTTAGAATTTAGGTCATGAGATTCAAAGAAGATTGAAAATGAGGGGCGCCTGGGTGGCTCAGTCGGTTAAGTGGCCAACTTCAGCTCAGGTCATGATCTTGCGGTCCATGAGTTCGAGCCCCGCGTCAGGCTCTGGGCTGACAGCTCAGAGCCTGGAGCCTGTTTCAGATTCTGTGTCTCCCTTTCTCTGACCCTCCCCCGTTCATGCTCTGTCTCAAAAATAAATAAACGTTAAAAATTAAAAAAAAAAAAAAAAAAGAATACTCTATGCAGCAAGAAGAGGCAAAGAGTTTCCCAAACAGAAGTTAAAGAAATTCATCACCATTAAGCCAGCCTACAAGAAATGTTAAAGGACATTCTTTGATGGAAAGGAAAGACCATAAGCAGGAATAAGAAAAGTAGGTAGCACAAAAGCAGTAAAATTAAGTACATCTATAAAAATCAGTCAAGGGATTCACAAAATAAAAAGATATAAAGTATGACACCATACATTTAAAAAGTGGTGGGGAGAGAAGTAAAAATTAAGTGATTTGAGAATGGGTTCAAACTTTATAGATGGCTATATGCATACTATATTATACATAAACCTAATGGTAACCACAAATCAAAAACTGTTAATAGATATACAAAAAATAAAG